ATTGTTGGTAGTTAAAGAGATTAATTACCCGCTTGGCACTTAGTGAAGGGGTTTTATCCCCTCCCTAACTTCAGGGGGACATCTCTACCTGGGGAAACAACCTTTCTCGGAGAGGTGACCTTGGTTAAAACACATAGTGCCAAGAAGGTGAGCAAACATATTAAGAACAGTATGCCATATATGCCAGGTCCCTTGAAACAGCAAGGATGGACCCACTCCCAGCAATGGGGGTTAAAAAGAGGAACAACTGTAATAATCTGAATAATGAAGACTTAATTAAAAAAAATAAAAGGGCAAAAACATCCAAAAGGACATCTATCCAGAAGAACACAAACGGTCAATAACTATATGATGTTCAATGTCACTAGGGAAATAGCAATGAGAACCACCCTGAGGGGCCCTGGCCGGGCGCAGTCACTGGAATGTTGTGGTGCACAGATGCTAGTGATTGAACATTTAAAAAAATAGTTGTTTTCTGTTCCAGGATCTAATCAGGATACCACATTCCACTCACTCATGTCTCCCTAAACGCCTCCTGGCTGATGGCTCCTGCTCCGATGACCCCAGGCTGCTGATTCTGGCCAGTGCTGCAGGGTGCCCATCCCTGCCAACAGGCCTGGCTCACAGGCTAGACTGGGTTCTGGGAATCTGAGGAGCCTTCACAGTCTATAGAGAACATACTATTAACCTGACTCAGTCGTGTTGCCACGGCCTTGGCCACCTCACTGAGGGATGTTTGGCAGGTTCCTTCTCTGTGAAGCTCCCCACCCCCCCACTGCACCCCGTGGAGGTCTGTGACCTTACCCAACCCTCACCCACTCCCCGGCACAACACCCTGGGGAAGCCTGTGACTTTACCCCCTCCCCCATGGGCACAGCACCCTGTGGAGGTCTGTGACCTTATCCAATCCCCCTTCCCCGGCACAGCACCCTGGGGAAGTCCACACAGCCAACACTTAAGGACCTTCAGCATCTCCTGTGCTGGATCCTCTTTGGGGAAATATATCTTCACGCTTCTGTCCTTTATGAGGTTTGTTAACATTCCCTCCCAGCTTATGGCTTGTCTTTTCATCTTCCTAACGGGTCTTGACAGATAACAAGTTCTTATGAAGCTCAATTTCTTCAGTTTTCTTAATACACTAGGGGCCTGGTGCATAAAATTCCTGCACATGTAGCGTCCCTAGGCCTGAATGGCGATCAGGGCCGATCTGTGGGATGACCGGTGGGGCTTCCGCTGGCACCCGCCTTGGCTGGTGGCCTAGCACTGCTGCTTGCTGGCCTGTCCAACACGGGTTGGAGCGTGTGGGCAGCTCCTGCGTTGAGTATCTGCCCCCTGGTGGTCAGTGTGCATCATAGCGACCGGTCATTCTGCCGTTCAGTCAATTTGCATATTAGGCTTTTATTATGTAGGATGGTGTTTTTACAATAGAGGCTGAAGGTAGCATATCTAAAATGTTCACAGGGATGTGCATCAGTCCTAAGAAGTGTTCACCACGCTCAAGGTGCAAAAGAATGTCTGCCAGGTATTCTTCTAAAAGTCTTACATTTCAAAGTTAAATCCATTTTGAGTAAATTCTTGTATAAATTAGGTTGAGGTTGTGTTTTTTTTAACTTATGAATGTCTAGGACTGTCTGTTAAAAGACTTTACTTCCTCCACTGAACTGGTATTGCACTTCAGTAAAAAGAAAACAAAACAGCTGAGCATATCTGTGTGGACTTATTTCTGTGTTTTCTATACCATTACAGCATCTGAATATATTTTATTGATTTTTTACACAGAGGAAGGGAGAGGGTTGGAGAGTTAGAAACATTGATGAGAGTGAAACATTGATCAGCTGCCTCCTGCACACCTCCTACTGGGGATGTGCCTGCAACCAAGGTACATGCCCTTGGCCGGAATCAAACCTGGGACCTTTCAGTCTGCAGGCTGAGGCTCTATCCACTGAGCGAAACCAGTCAGGGCTTCAAGATTATTTTAGCTATTCTACCTCCTATGCTTTTCAATGTCAAGTTTAAAATATCCTTTATTATGTCTACAAAAGCCTTTGTGTGATTTTGATAGGAACTATATTAAACCTATTGATCAACCTAGGGAGAACTGACATTTTTATAGAGCTTTCTAACCCATGAACATTGTATGTCCTCTCAAAATTCTCATAAGTTCATTACAAGTATCTAAAATTGTTGTGTGTGGATATTGGATCCTGTGATTTTGCTGAACTCATTGACTAGGTCCAGGAGTTTTTGCAAAGAATCCTTAGAGATTTTCTACGCAGATGATGTCATCTGCAAATAGGGTTCATTTATTTCTCTCGAACCAGTATAGCTGTTTATTCTTTTTCTTGTCTTGAAGTGTGGCTAGAACTTCCAGTTCTCTATGGAGTAGTGGGACAGAACAGCCTTGTCATTTTGCTCACTTCAGGTAAGGCTAATGTTTAAGTCGGTAATTCTGTATGGCCCACGAATGATGTTATAAATATCCAAATGGTCTTTGGCAGAGATGTTTCCCACCCCTGTTGAAGACATTTTACTCAGTTGAGGGAAGTCTTTCTCTTTTCCAATTTTTGAGTTTTTATAAGTGTTGAATTTTGTCAAATAATTTTCAGCATCAATTAATATAATCATGTAATTTTTCTTTTGTAGCTTTTGTTGTGGGATGAATTGTGTTACCCCGGAAAGACATGTTAAAGTCTTAAGCCTTGGTACCTAAAACTTGATGGTCTTTGCAGATGGAACGCAGTTATACTGAGCTAAGATGGACCCTAACTCCAATGACGAATGTCTTTCTGAAGAGAAAAGTCAGATACCCAGGGAAGAACACTTGTGGTTCTGGAGGCGAAACTGGAGGGAAGCAGCTGCACGCCCAGTGTTATTGAATGCTTGCTGGCCAGAAGCTAGACAGGCAAGGAGAATGGTCTTCTGCAGCCTTCAGAGAGGCTGGTCCTGCTGATGCCTTCATTTCGGACTGCTGGACTCCAGAGCTATGAGATAAATGTCTTATTTTAAGCTCTCTTGTTTGTGGTACTTTATGATTTTCAAATATTAAAGAAGTTTTGCATAGCTGTAACAGATCTCATTTGATAAACGTGCAAAATTCTATTTATATATTGCTGGATTGTAATTTTCTAACAGTTTAAGTTTTTTTGCTTCCATATTCATGAGAAATATCAATCTGTAGTTTTCTGTATTGATACCCTTTTTGGTTTTTCTATAAGGGAAATGATGACTTCAAAAAATGAATTTGAAACTGTTCCATCCTGTATTTTGGAAGAGATTATAAAAAATTATGTTGATTGTTCATTTAAACATTTGAAGAGTTTCCCAGTAAAAGTAGCTGAGCTGTCTTATCTGGTTTGGCTCAGTGGATAGAGCATTGGCCTGCAGACTGGGTCCCAGGTTTGACTTTGGTTAAGAACATATGCCCGGGTTATGGGCTCAGTTCCCAGTTGGGGGCATGCAGGAGGCAGCCAATTGATGACTCTCTCTCTATCCCTCTCCCTTCCTCTCTGAAATCAATAAAAAATATATTTAAAAAAAGTAGCTAAGCCTAGGGATTCTATTTGGAAGCTTTTGAATTACGGATTCAACTTATTTAATGGTTACAGGACTACTAAGATTTGTCCATTTATGGTGGCGTTTGGTAATTTATGGTTTTGAACGAATTTGTGCACCAGTGGGGTTCCTTGGCCTGGCCTGTGGGATCCCAGATTGCAAGAGGGTGCAGGCCAGGTCAAGGGACCCCACTGGTACTCAATTGGGATGGGGGAAGGACACGGGAGGTTGGCCAGCCAGGGAGGGACTGCGTAGTATTTTCTTACTAGAGGCCTGGTGCATGAAATTGGTACACTCGGGCAGGGGAGGAGTGGTGGGGTGGGCTGGAGGTGGGGGGGAAGTCCCTCAGCCTGAATTGTGAGAGGGTGCCAGCCAGGCTGAGGGACCCCACCAGTGCACGACTGGGGCTGGGGAGGGACCACAGGAGGGCTCCAGGGCGTGTGTGGCCCGTCTTACTCAGTCCTGATTGGCCAGAACCCAGGAGCAAGCTAACCTACTGGTCGGAGCATATGCCCCTGGTGGTCAGTGCACGTCATAGCAAGCGGTTGAGCGGCCTTAGCATATTATGCTTTGACTGGTTGAATAGCCAACCGAACACTTAGCATATTAAGCTTTTATTATATAGGATGCTTTTAATGGCTGCACAATATGTAGTAATATCCTGTTTCACTCCTGATAATCCCAATTTGCCTGTTTTCCTTTATCTTTTTCAGTTTTTCTAGAGATTTGATTTTATTGATCTTTTTCCAAAGAACCAGAGTTTTTGTTTTATTGATTTTATTAATTTCCTCTTTAAAAAAATGTTACTTTTATTGATTTTAGAGAAAGAGGAATGGAAAGAGAGAAAAACATTGATGAGAAACATAAATCAGCTACCTCCTGCATGTCCCCTAGTGGGGACTGAGCCTGAACCCAGGCATGTGCCCTGCACGGAACCAGTGGCCTTTTGGTGTATGGGACAACACTCAACGGAGCCACACCAGCCAGGGCTTAATTTCCTCTTTTCAATTTCACTGATTTCTGCTGTCTTTACTATTTTCTTCCTTGTATTTGCTTTGAGTATATGTTGCTCTTTTTACTGTTTTTGTTGTAGGAACTTTGCGATGCTCCCTCTTGTCTAATGTAGCATTTCGTGCTATAAATTTCCCTGTTGGCACTGCTTTAGTTGCCTCCCATATATTTTGATTACCCTTCATTTTATTTCCGTTCAGTTTATGTATTTTAAAAAATTTTGACACTTCCTCTTTGACTCATTGCTTAGAAGTGTGTTGTGTAATTTCCATGGTTTGGAGGTTTTTGGTTCTCATTGTTTTTGGTTTCCAATGTGATTCCATTATAGGAAATGAAGATAATCTATATAATTTCAATTCTGTTAAATCTGCTAAGATTTGTTTTCTGGTCCAGGACACTGCCTGTCTTTACATGCTCTGTGTGGACTTGAGAGAATGTGTATTTTCTGCCGCTGTTCCAGTGTGTATGAACATTTCTTAGATGCTGGTGTGTGGTGCTCAGCTCTACATCCTCGCTGACTCTGTGAAGCGCTCCTACCAGTCGCTGAGACCAAGGCGCTGAAGCTCTCACGGCATCGCACACCTGCCAATTTCTCCTCCAGCTCCAGCGTTTTGCTTCAAGTATTCTGAGGCTCTTGGTTTTTGTTGCCTCTACATTTTTTAATAGCACACAATGCCCTTCTTTGTTTCCAGTAATGTTCTTTTCTCTGGTCTACTTTTATTTGATATTAATATAGCTACTTTTGCTTTTTAAAATTTTTCCATTGCATATATTTTCCATCTGTCAATCTACCTATGTCAATGTACTTGAAGTGAGGTTCTTATAGACAGAATATAGGTGGATCTTTTTCCCATCCATTCTGTCATTCTGTGTTTTAATTGGTATATTCAGACTATTCAGATTTAAGGTAATTATTGATATGTAAGGTTAAATCTGCCATGTTATTATTGCTTTCCTGTGCTGCTTCTATTTTTAAAATTCTTACCCAAGGGTATTTTTTCCATCAATGTTTTTTTTAGAGACAGTGGAAGGGAGGGAGGAAAAAGAAAGCGAGAGAAACACTGATGTGAGAGATACAGTGATTGGTTGCCTCCTGCACAAGCTTGCAACTGAGGTATGTGCCCTTGACTGGAAATTGAACCCATGACCTTTCGGTCCCTGGGCTGACACTCTAACCAGTTAGCCAAAGGGTCAGGGAATTTCTTGGGCTTCTTGATCCTCTATTTCTTTCCTTTCCTTCCTGTAAATGACCTGACCAGTTTTTAACATTTAATCTTGATTTATTTTTAAGAATATGATTTTAAAACTTAGGCAAAACAGTTCAACTAGTTTAACAGTCAAGAGACTTGGCCCAAAGTGATGAATATGGACATGTTCAAACATAAGATGTAGGAATCATGAACATTTTCAGTCATCAAATTACCTTTCTTGATACAGTTATGGTGAGTCGCAAGAAGCAATAAGACTTTTTTAGTATGGCTTAAAATGTTACTAGGGAACACTTTAAATGTTAACTTCTAGGCTGTGGAATTCTGGCATGAGGAGAGGTTTAGTGGTTCATACCCTGCTTCTATCACAGGCCAACATTCTCTACCTATGGAAATCTTACCTGCTCTTCAAACCTCAGGGAACACTCGTGAGGAAGAAAACCTGGAATGTGTTGCTACTTCTATACTTCCATTTAGAACAAGCATGTCAAACTCGTGGCCCGCAGGCCGTATGCAGTCCACAACGAATATTTTTGCAGCCCGGCCAATATAACAGTATGTAAGAAATGTTTTAATAAAAATTTCGTAACTTAATTTTTACAATATCTTGTTATACATAATTATTAATAATGAACTACACCGTTCGCTAGTGACTGATTACTAGAATCACTTTCTCTATTGAAATAAACCTACGTTTCTAGGAAAATTGAAGCTTTTGTTTTTTGTGGCCACATACACTTACACCTTGTGTATTCGTCCCGTTAGCCTTTGAGTTTGACACGCTTGCTTTCGAGACTGAACTGCCAGGACCCTCATCCCTGCTCAGAGATTAGTCAGTCCAGTTCAGCTCTGCTCACCTTGAGGCCACAAGGAAGCCCTCAGAGAAGTGCCCAAGTAGACTTTCTATTAAGGAAATGGGAGAAATGACCAATCCTCTGCTAACTTATACTTCTTTGTGCAATGACTATATCTGAGATTAAGGACACTTAAAGTCTATCAGCACAAATATTTACGAATTACTATCAGCCATTTTTATTAAATGTTGGTTTATCAAAATGTTACTCTTAAGTTCAACAACAAGAGTTAATGTTGACCACTCCAAGAGTTAAACATGTTAAATAAAGGCGGTCCTTTGGGAAATAAAACTCCCTGGAGCTTATGATGCACGTGCATCCGAGCATCCGAGGAACTCAGATGGACTATGCCAAACACCCAGTACAGCTCCTTCCACAGCTCTGTGGGGCGGAGGAGTCACCTACCGCCACTCGAGGAGCTGGGACTACATGAAATTTACTAAGAACAATGCTGTCACTTATGTATTAGACTGAGTTTCCAATAAAGTAGACATAGCTTTCTCAGGCAAAGAGTAATTTTCCAAATTTTATACCCAAATGTACATTCTGTCTAAGTTAAACATTAAAGTCTTCAGATTTTATAACAAAAACTTAAGGTTTTTAGAAAGTGAAAACTTGTAAACCCGTCTGTTCTACTGTGATTGTAATCACAGTAAAAGACCAATTTCATGCATTAACACTGAAGCTCCTGGGGGAAGCTAACCTTTAACCCGGACGTCACTGTATCGCTGAAAGTGGTGGTAAGCAGCTTTCCAGGGGTTCCGATAGTGACGGAGCAAAGTAATGGGAGGTCTTGGACGCACAGGGACATACCTCACTCCTTCTTCATCTGTTTAAAGGGAACAAAAAGAAGATGCTAAGTAGCTTATTACATACTAGAGGCCTGGTGCATGAAATCCATGCACTCGGGGGTGGGGGGGCCCTCAGCCTGGCCTGCACCCTCTCACAGTCCAAGAGACCTTGGGGGGTGTCCCACTGCCGGCTTAGGCCCGCTCCCCGCACCTAAGCTGGCAGTCAGACATCCTTAGTGCTGCTGTGGAGGCGGGAGAGGCTCCCGCCACTGCTGCTGTGCTCGCCACACGTGAGCCTGGCTTCTGGCTGAGCAGCACTCCCCCTGTGAGAGTGCACTGATCACCAGGGGGCCGCTCCTGCATTGAGCGTCTGCCCCCTGGTGGTCAGTGTGTGTCAGGGCGACTGGTCATTCTGCTGTTCAGTCGATTTGCATATTAGCCTTTTACTATATAGGATTTGCCACAATCCTCAAGGTACAATTCCAGTAAGTGAGCCACAGTGAGATTGGACTATGTAAACAGCTTTGGGACTGGTCCTGATTCAAGTGGGAAAGCTTCACACGACAGCAGATTCCATTACCAATGTACTCCTTGGGAGGAGACTTGCGCTTCTCTGCCTTCACCAGGAGACTCTTGGCTGTGGACTTCTCGTCGTCAGTGCTGTTTGTCTCCATCATGTCCCCCTCTTCTGTGGAAATCACATGCTGTTGCTTCCGAGGCTTTTTCCTCGGGGAGGCACCAGGTGGTAGGTCACTTGTGGGCAGGGACAGGTTGTTAGCCAGCAATGCAAGAGATGGCGACATGGTGCTGGCAGCTAGTGGAGGAACTGCTGCATGGGAGAGAGAGCACACACGTGCATGAGAACCTGAGCATATGGACAGCGTCACCAGATGTCCACCAGTGAAAATAAGTAGAACAGAGACACCCTTGTGTGCCCGGTGCCGGGTAAGCACCAGTTGTGCAGAGGCGGCCAGGCGCTTCCTAACACCTCACATCTCCACTGTCCTTGCAGGAAGACGCAGGAGTGACAAAAGCACCGGTGTCAAGCCCCTGGGGTGGCAGGGCCGACCCTGAGGGCTTTCTGGGGCCCACATACCACCTCTGAGCGCCTGCCTGCCCCTGGGCTTCTTGTCCAAGGGGAACAAGAAACCACATGGTCAAGACACTATTTCAAGCTTTTGAGCATGAATTCTTAGAAGTTAACCTGTTTAGTCACATACTTAAGATAATCTGAATTATGGGCATAATTTATTACTCCCAATTTAAAGATGAGAAAACAAGGCACAGGTCATGGGAAGCGCAGGGCGGCGCAGAGCCGGGCTGAGCTCAAGCTCTGGCACCCATGGCACACGGCCTCCTATCAAGCAGCCTCCACCGGGAGGGGAGCACTCGCCTGGGCGTGCGTGAATCATACACCTGGGGCCTTACAAATCAGGACAAAAGCTCGCCTCTACCCTTATCCCATCTATCATATCCCTACGTCCCTGCCCCCACCCTACCTCGGTGCCCAGTCCCAACAGGCACACCCTGAATACTGTCATCACATCTTAATTTCTAGCACCTGATTCTCCAGCCAAAACTAACTATTTTTCCAGGTCACTCCTCTTAGCAACCAGTCTCCAACAACCTCTAGTTGAGGAGCTATTATCCATTAATAGGAACTATTAAATAGGAACTAGGAACTATTATCCATTAATCCTACCTTTTTTTTTTTTTTTCTATTGCTTATCCCTCTCCTATTACTTTCCTGCTGCGGGGCAATCCCAGGGTATCTGCTAAGTCCACTCTCTCCACATGGCCATTTCACCCTTCTCCTTCCTCAAACCTCCAGCACCTCTTTTCCCAGCCCTGCTCTTAGCTGATTACCTTGCTTTCAATCTTACTGCAAATAAATACATACATACATACATATATACATACAATAAAAGGAACAATCAGAAAATGCTCATAAATTCCCCACCACGTATACCGTCTTCCTTGCCCCGGGACCATGTATTTCCTTATCTTTGTGTGTCCTGCCCTGACACTGCTCCAGGAATCCTCATCTTTCTCCACACCATCAATTCTTTCCTTGGACAGGATCATTCCCACATGGACTTGTAATGCCCCAGCTTAAAAGTCACTCCTCTTGGCATTACTTCCCTTCAGCTACCGCCCTTCCCTTTTCTACCCCTTTTTAACAAACACTGTTCACACTTATTGGCTCCAATGCTCCTCTCCAGTTTTCTCTTGAACCCACAGCCAATCATCCTGGACTAATCTCATTACATGAAAACAGCTCTTCTCAATATCTCCACATGCTGTTAAATCCAATGGTCACAGCTCAGTCCTTACGTTTTTGAAAAATGTATGTTTTCTTAAAAAATTTTTTCAATTACAGTTTATTTTCATAATTACTTTGTATTAGTACAGCACAGTGGTTAAACAATCAAATACTTCACCAAGTGTTCCCACTGATACTTCTGCCTGGCACCATACACAGTTACTGCAATATTGCGGACACTATTCCTAGGCTGCACTTGGCGTCCCCGCGACTATTCTGTAACTACCAATCTGTCCTTCTCAGTCCCTTCACCTTTTCCACACAGTCCTCCAATCCCCATCCTCTTTGGCAACCATCCGACTGTTCTCTGGACCTATGCATGTTTCTGTTTTGTTCTTTTCTTTTGTTCTTTAGTTTTCACATATAAGTGAAATCATATGGCATTTGTCTCTCTCTGACTGACTGCTTTCAGTTAGCATAATACCCTTTAGGTTCATTCAGGAGTCCTTAACCTAATTGAGCTTTCAACAACGTGTGACCCAGCTGATTACTCCACTTTCCCTGACATATTTCTGCCCCGCTTCCAGGACATCACGTATCCCAAGTTGATTCTCTCCACTCTGGTCCCTTCACTCAATCTCCTGTTTGCTCTGCCTCTTCTTCCTCCACAGAATGGGCAGTGGCCTGGAGGAGCTCAGTGTACAGCGGCCTCTGTTTTTATTTGCACTCATTCCTTAAGGGATTTTATCCAGACTCATGGCTCTAAACACATTTTATACACGACAGCTCCCAGTCCATGCCTGCAATTCACTCTCTATTCCAAAAGCCAGGTTCACAGGCCCAAACGCCAACCTGATGTGTCTGTCTGGAGGCAGGTCTAGCAGATTCCTCAAACTCACCAAATCAAGACCTCAGTTCCTCCCTATAGAATGTGCTCCTCCTGCAACCTTCCCTCTCTCAGCTGTCGGCAACTCTGAGCTCCCAGTTACTGACACCTGGCCTTGATGCTGTGCTCCCACACTCCACATCCAATCCTGAAAGGAATCCTCAGCTCTACTTTAACAACATACCTACTCCAGTCATTTCATACCACTTCTGCTGCTACTACCTTGGTTGAAGCCTTCATTGTTCCCTGCAATTTATGCAATAACCTCTGAACAGAGCTCCTCGATTCCATCCTTGCTCCCGTCTTTTCTGTACACGGCAGCCAGAGCGATCTGTAAGAAATGCAAGGGACCTGCAGTCCCTCCTCTGCTCTCAACCCTCTCACAGCTCTCCCGTCCTCGCAATGGTCCACAGCTCTCAGTCTCGCCCCTGGTCCTCTGACCTGCCCTTTGACCACTTCCTCGGCAGGAGGCTCCACCTGTGTACCTCCGCTCCCTGCCACGGCTTGTTGCTGTCCCAGGCCCCCACCTCTCTGATGTCTCTACTCAAAGACACTTTCTCAGGAAGCCTTCCTTTAAGTCTTTAAATATCACAGCTCCAGCCCTAACTTTCCCTGATATTTTGTCCCTGCCTCTTTTTTTGACTGTCACATTTGCTAGATGACAGAGTTGTGCTTTTTTCACTTGGGCTTTGTCTGTTTTTTATAAATTTCTTAACACTGAATATTACTTTTGTAGTTATGAAAAACAAGATCCACAAAAAATTATTAAAAAACAAAATCAAACAGAAAGAAAACTTCCAGTCATCTGCCCTTTACAGAGAGTTTACAGACAAGAAGAGAAAAAAAGGGGTAATGTATAGTTTTAAGATTTTACTAAACACATATTAAGTTTAACAAGAGAGTATTTTCAACAACATAAATCTTACTTTACTGTGTAACAAAAATGGGCAGGTAATAAATTGTAAATAGCAGGACTTAGCGACGATTGTATCCTCTTACATGGCGATTTTTAATTCTTTTTGGGGGCAGCATTTTATTAATGAACTAGAGGCCTGGTGCAAGAAATTCATGCACTTGGGGTTGGTCCCTCAGCCCAGATTGTGAGAGGGCACAGGCCAGGCCAAGGGACTGCACCGGTGTACGTTCAGACTGGGGAGGTTGGCCACCCAAGGAAGGACCACGGGAGGGCTCCAGGGCATGTGTGGCGTGTCTCCCTTAGTCCCGATCCGCCAGATCCCAGCAGCAAGCTAACCTACTGGTCTGAGCGTCTGCCTCCTGGTGGTCAGTGCACATCATAGCGAGCAGTTGAGCTGCCTTAGCATATCATTAGTATATTACACTTTGATTGGTTGAACGGACAACCAGACACTTAGCATATTAGGGTTTCATTAGATAGGATACAAAAAGCTATCATGAAGAATATGTAAATATCTTTGTGGAAATATTAATCTTTTTCTTAATTTTGGTTAAGAAATAAAATTAAAGATAAAACCAGCAAAATGGTTTAGTTTTCAAAAGGAGCTTCCATTTATTGAAAAGTAATAAAGTGCAACTTTAAAATGAGAATGGAGGGGTCAGCATTCCTAGCTAAGGGTAACACAAGTTGGGACTCTGAGGAAAATCAGGAAAAGGGGAAGAAGCAACTGCCAACACTGTATTCATTGAATGAACTTACCAGAAACTGGTCTCATGATATCCATTGGTTCCACTTCTTCTTTAACTTTTATCTCAGGTACAGGAGGTCCCAAAATCGAGGAGGGATTGCCACCTACAGCTGCTGCAGGCAGGGGGGCAGCTGCGATGGTGGTGATAGGTGGAGTGATGGGAACGGCTCCCGGCATGGTGGAGAGGGCAGCCGCAGGCTGTGACGGGGGACTAGCTGCAATCATGGTTGGAATGGCTGGTGGAGGCTGCTGAGAAGTGGGAGGGACTGCAATGGTGGGTTGATCATTATTCTGATTGGACACAGTGTCCATGGACACAGTGACTGGAGTGGCCATTGATACATGGATTTCTGACTTAGGTTTGGCACTGAAATACAAAAGCAAAGATAATATAGCAAACAACAGAAAATTTCCTTAACCTGCAACATCTTAGAGGATGGTATTTATCCAATTCGTTTTGTAAAACACAGCAAAACTAAAATATTTCTTAATTCTAATAGTTGAACTTTAAAGTTTGAAAGGGAATTGCAGTTTTAAAAATTCACCTTTTTGCGCCACCCAATATGTTTTTATAAGCAGTAATAAAATTAATTTAGAAAACCAAGTCCATTGTAAAGAAATCAAAGTTATGTCATCAAAAACAACCAATTTTCATTATGTTGTGCATTTTCCTCCCAGAATTCCTTAATGCATATGCTGTTTTAGGAGGTCTTTTGATTGATTACAATTGTATTCATACTTCATATGTGGTTTCTCTTATAAAAGAGGAAACTAATGCACATGGCAAAGATAGGAAAGAATACAAATTAAAAGTAATTTCCCTCCACTTCAAACATGCAGACCTCTACTCAGAGGCACCAGTACAGTGGAACCTCAGTTCTCAAACTTAATTCACTATGGAAGGCTGTTCGAGAACCAATTTGTTTGAAAAACGTATCATTTTCCCCCCTTAGAAATAACGTAAATTGAATTAATGCGTTCCAGACCCCCAAAATAAATGTTTTAACTTTTCTTATGAAACAGTACATATAATGTACTGTTTGTTTCATCTATAAGCAAACTCTTCCTTTCTTAAATTTATCAACGCACCCTCCTACCAGTCTTAAACAAATTTTTCACATGCCACTGCCTCAGAAATGCTATCACCAGCTAACTGCTTTTCATTTATTCAATGAACAGCAGTTTTCCTACCTCTTAAGTGCCCGTGGTTGTTGTTTTGTGAGCACTTCATACCCTTAGCAACACTGGCACTCTGGTCGGCCTCTTCATGTTTTAACCTTGTGCTAATCACAGAGTGAGCCGCAACAGCAGTATCTCTCCTTTTTTGTTGCCTGAGAGACACTTTTTGTCACACTGAGGCATCAGCATAAAAGGGTTCTCAGGTCCAGAACGTAAGTTTTGGTCGACAACCAAGACCTTTTTTCTGTGCACAACATGACTGTTTGAGGTGGGAGACATTGGAGAAAAGAGGCTTGACTGTATATGTTACCAGAGATATTTCAGACATCTAGAGTAGCTGCAAGTACAGTGTTTAAAAATGTACGTCCTATTTTATCAGTTTTTTAAAATACATTTTTACTGATTTCAGAGAGGAAGGGAGAGGGAGAGAAAAACATCAATAATGAGAGAATCACTGATCGGCTGCCTCCTGCACGACCCCTACTGTGGATCAAGCCTGCAACCCGGGCATGTGCCCTTGACCGGTATCAAATCTGGGACAATTCAGTGTGCAGGCCAACGCTTTATCCACTGAGCCCAACAAACGAGGGCTATTTTTTCAATTTTTTAAAAAATGTTTTTTTTTTTTAGAGAGAGAGGAAGGGAGAGGGAGAGACAAAGAGAAACATCTATGTAAGAGGGACACATTGATCGGCTGTCTCCTGCATGTCATCTACTGGGGATCGAGCCCACAACCCAGGCTTGTGTCCTGACCCAGAACTGAACCGGCAACCTTTGGGTGCACGGGATGCCGCCCAGCCAACTGCTTGAGAACTGAACCAGCACCTCCCAGTGCATGGGCGCCGCCCAGCCCACGGCCAGAGCCTGTGTTCTCAGGTTTGTAAGAACAACTCATACATGTCATTACAACTTCTTAAACAATATTATTTTTTTATTAATTAAATCTTTATTGTTCAGATTATTACAGTTGTTCCTCTTTTCCCCCCCCATAGCTCCCCTCCACCCAGTTCCCACGCCACCATCCTCCCTCACTCCCCACCCACTGTCCTCATGCGTAGGTGCAGGATTTTTGTCCAGTTTCTTCCCATATCCCGCTCACCCTTTTCCTCCCCATGAATAGCCAGTCCATTCCCTTTCTATGCCCCTGATTCTATTATAATCACCAGTTCATTCTGATCATCAGATTATTCACTTGATTTTCAGATTCACTTGTTGATAGATGTGTATTTGTTGTTCATAATTTGTATCTTTACCTTTTACTTCTTCCTCTTCTTAAAGGACACCTTTCAGCATTTCATATAATACTGGTTTGGTGATGATGAACTCCTTTAGCTCTTTATTGGACCTTCAATTCTGAATGATAGCTTTGCTGG